AAACGGCGAAAACTCCAGTTTTTGAACGTTAAAACTCATTGTTTTTAAATTCTGGAATAAAAGCGCGTTTTAACGCTCAACAACGGGAGTTTTCGCCGTTTTCACGGTCTGAAACGCGTTTCTTGCGTTTTTTTAATGAGCGTTACTGACTCACAATCGCGGTTCCCTTTTGAGCGTTTAAACGCGTTTTTCCAAATGTTTGTCTGCTTGGGTAGATGCTAAACTATTTTGGGTTTAGTACTGTTGTTTCTAAACCCTTTCAGTTTTTCAAAATACGCTTTTTTCACGCGCCGAATCACACCACAATGGTATTTTAGGAAAATCTTTTGTAAAGTCTCGAAGCATATGCGCATTTTTTCGCATGGGATATAGATGCACTATAGGTAGAAGAGCTGCACAAAGTTTGAGCGTGCACAGAGCTTTGGACAATTATAAATACTCATTATGCTTATTAAAGAAGTAATTTTCAGAAAACTTTTTAACATGGAAAATAATTTTTTCCTCTTCTATTTTAAATTCAAGTAAGATTATTTTTCATTAGTAGATAATTCAAAGGGTTATATTGCAATATTGATATTGTTTTCAACGTAAATATTTAGCTTAGATACAGGAAAAAATTTAGTTTTGATGGTCGTTATTCGTAAATACACGTTGCTTTATGCAAATGTCTATCTATCTAAACCACAAATATATTTCGTCACATCATATCTCGGTTAATAGAACAATACTGACGTTTTCTGTTTGATTTTTGGTCAAAGAGAAAAAACAGGAAGGACATAACATGAAGAAGCGAATCTACTTTACATTAACGAAATATCTTATTTATTATTGTTCATTATATAAAATATTCGTATAATAGGACGCAAGGTGGTATTCGTATTTTTATATAATTTTCTTAATAATGAACAAAATTAAGAAGCGTATGGTGGTATCAGTATTACGATGCCTATCTCGAGTTTTTTATATAATTATTCGACCTCGTATCATAACATTAATATTTATCTTTATTATTTTTGATATTATGCTCAATAGCACAAGAATTAACGTGAACAAATGTTTGAGCACATCAATTGAATCTTCACTAACAGTAAATGAAGTTTCAATTTCTATTCCTGATAATACAGAAGAAAAGTCAAAAAAATATTCTACATTTTCATGTGTAGGCAATATGAATAGAGAATCAGAATGGTCAAAACGTGTGTGTCGATTTCATAATATTTGTTATGATAAACGTCTTAAACAATTTCAGTATTATAAACGTCCCTATTCAGCAGCTCGACCGATACTATTTGAAGCCAAGAAAGGTTTGATCTATGATTTTAATTCATCTGGTAATGGATTTGTTGGCATTCTATGTAGAATGGATAGCGTGTACAAAGGTTGGCATCCTGTAATTGTTAACGAAAATTTACCAAACGATAAAAGAATGAAGTATCTAACAAATGTACATGTTATATGGAGGTAATCAAATAATTTGTAGATCGAATCACTTTATTGAATATCTATTGAAATTTGATAGACTTGCGTCGAATTTTTCTACTCGATAAAAACTGCCAGGGTTTCTCAAAATCAGACAGCATCATCGCCAGAATTGGCAGCAAGACTTCTCTAACGTTTCAAATCAATCTTTGAAAGTTTCTGTTTAAGAATCCTTGTCCTTAACAGCCATTGCATGTTAGAGACGATCGAAGTTGCTCAACCAATGTCTGAGTTTTTTTTCCCTATTTACACAGTAGATAGCAGCGACATACTTAGGAAGATTTTCAAAAGTTTTTGATCGGAACTTCTTTTCTTCAGAAGTTATGGAATTTTTCGTAAAAGCCCTACAAACAGAGGTATATCTCTACTATAAACTATGAATTCGTACAAGTTCCTTGGTTGTTGTATGGATGAGCTCAAAAGGGGGTAGAATCGCTTATATGTCAATGATCAGTACTCATGTCAGGCTATCAAACTATACTTTCAGATTTATGGCATATTCAACTTCAATTTTGTTGGTTTATCACAATAGACTTTGCCAGGAACTGTTGTAATAAACGAGCAAAATTGAAGTTGAACATGCCATAAATCCGAAAGTATAGTTTGGCAGCCTGACATGAGTGCTGATCATTGTCATATCAGCGCCAAAATTTCCAGAGGCATCAACCGAGAAAATCGGTCTTCAAATAGGCCATTTTTCATATTCTGTCTCCTTTAGAGTTCATCCATACAACAACCAAGGAACTTGTACGAACTCATAGTTTATATTAGAAGAATATCTGAACATTCTTGCGTGAAACTATCAGAAATATTTATATGGAATTTTGGAAAACTAAGTGGTAGGAAACAGTCAGGCACATGCCTTAATATGATTCTGATAGAAAAAAGTCAAGAATATTGGGGGATGGAATATAGCCTAATCCGACCCACTCCTTTGATTCTGAATCATCTTGTCCTATTTACTAGACCTACCATTCTGAGGTTGTCGACGTGTAGATAGGATCATCTTTTGTCGCCCGTATTGAAGAGATCGACGAGCCGAATATTTGATGTTCTGAGCACAGACCATAACGCTGTAAGAGTATGGTGCTGTGATAATTATTAGAATGTATGTTCGTTCCTAAGATGGTGCAAAAACAAGTCATCAGGTTGCTACATTTGAAAAGTACATTCAGGAAATGACTTTATCAGGATTATTGGAAATTTAAAAACGTGAACAGTATACGACATGTAAGCTCTTTTTTGGTATAAGACAGAGTCAGTTATTTTGTTTAAATATTTTTCTAGAGTTAAACTTCAGCACTTGAAAGTGTAAATAATAGAATTCATTGATGCACTTTCGAATTTTCTAAAAAGGTAGAGATTTTGCATAGCAATAACCATAGGACTTTAATATCAACTTTCTATTTATTTGTCTATTCCAACGAATAGTGTGAGAGATACAGACGGACTGTGGATTCAAAGTCCATTGATAACTGGTTTTTAATCACACTTTGCACGCAAATAGATGTGAAAGGTGATGTTGAATTTTTTGAGAACAAGAAATGATCTACTAATTAGAACGACCTTACACATCGTATAACTCAACACATTTCGGTAAACTAGCATCAGCGGCGTAACCAGGATTTTTAGTACAATGGGCAAACTTCTATTGTAACGGAAAAAAACGATGGGCAAAATGGGCAAGGTTTTTGTCGATGGGCCAAAAGATTTTTGGTCCAAAAAGAACACAAAAAAATGAAATGAGATCCTTTTAATTTTTGAATTAGATTCTATTTCAAAAATAAACAAACAATTCTGTCTATAGGCACTCTTACAAATATCTTTCTAAGGGTTATACAAAAAGAAACCGCCTGGGTATATCTGCTAAGTAAAATTTCAATGGGCAAATCCCCAAATGATCTGTTGGATGACCTGGTCATCCAACAGATATATTGATCGAGGTGTCACCCGTTCGTATTTAAAAAGATTGTATCGTTCAACTCTGCAACCATTTCATGATCAATCTTGCAAAATAGTTTTAGAGTAGCATATTGTTTTATGTATGGAAAGGCTAATACCTTGAACTCGCTAAATGGTTATATACAAACAAACTAAGAGGAACTCTTTGCGCAGCTTACGAGACCCAAGTTGTAAAGTGTTTGTTGTTTGTCGGATTTTTTATGAATAGATATTGGCAAGGACAATTTAATGTTGGACATCTTCTTTGGGAAGATGTAGCCAATTCCTATTTGAGTATGGTTCGATTAGATTCGTATAGTCCGAATGCAATTTTAATGAATGTGAATAAATTTCCACCACGTACTAACGGATTTGAACGTTTGATAAAAAATGTGTCTCCATCATTTGTTAAAGATGTTGTACAATTCGACGACTATATGAAGAATTTTTCTAATGTAAACACAGTCTGCTTTAAAACAATAGTTGCTGGTGGATCTGGTAATTTCTTTTTAACCGACGGGGAGACTGTTGGTAAAGAAAAAATGTTGTATGATTTTCGGAGCAGAATATTAATTCATAATGGCATTGACTTACAGCATCCGCCTGAAAAACACCAAATACTTCTTGTAAATAAATCACACTCCGATTGGGGACATCAAACTAAACATCGGTCACGACGTATTATCTATAATCTGAAAGAAGTTGAATTATTTCTGAAAGAAACTTATCCATATGTTTCAATTGTTACTGTGGAATTTCATAAAATGTCTTTTACAGAACAACTATGGATAATATATAATACAACAATTTTAATTACTCCATGTGGAGGTGTTTCAGCAATGATTCCATTTTTGCCAAAGGGTGCACATGCAATTATTATGGATTATTCTAGTACGGAATACTTTCGAGGTTGGCAGCCAAATGAATCAGCATCGATGGAAAGTTATTCATGGAATTATTTTCATCATTTTACAAAACTTTATTATCAAATTCGCGGTCCAGAAGATTATGTACTCGATATGCCTAATACTGACGATGTACGAAATTATGCATCACCGATAATTAAAATGAATCGTTTAAAAGAACTTGTTGATACAGCAATAGAAAATTCCGTTGGGTTAGGTTAATATAATTTTTCAGCATTTTAAACTAGAGTACGCACGGCTGTTTTTCAAATAAAGTTTCAACGAAAGAGATACAAATCCGCTGTGTTCACTAGCTTTTTGGGCTATGGCCTAATGCGATCTGAGCATTGAAGCATTGGCCCAACAGAAAATGTTTTCTGAGTGTTCGGCCCAAAGCTTTTCCTTCACCTACCAATTAGAAAAATGCAGAAGACAACTTAAAAAGACACAGAAACTTAAAAAAACACCTACCAATTCCGAACAAAGTCTGTGAACGAAAACGAAATACAAATCTAAAGTAAAGCGACATGTGTTTATTCTTTATTTCTTTGCTTGTTTGGTGATCAGACTACTACAGTTCAGGCCTCCCTCTGCATCCACTATCGTACAGAATATGCGGTATTGAGAACAGCCCATAGCCAGGGTAGCGAGCAAAATGACGGTATCGGAACTAGCAATAGTTGAAAAGATTTCCTGCCCAAGCAAGAAACTTTGCGCATTGCAAAGTATGCGGATTGGAATGTTTACTTGAAGATGAACATTTAAGTGTTGTGTAGCATTTTCTGAGATGATATTTCGCAGAAGAATCAGTTTATGTATATCAGACAGTTAGATAAATCCACACAATCTAAAATATCTAGAACTTTTTCTTTACTTGACAAATATAATGCACCAAGTTGATTAGCCATTTATTAAACACATCTGTTAGAAATGTTGAAATCACTGGCTGTAAGGGGACACCACTTATATCCTGATCGGGATATAAAACACAAAAATTCGTTGTAAAAACGATTAAGGGAAAAATGACGACGTTATGGGGGAAAATTGATGTCACCATTAGAAAGAGCTTGAAAAACTACATCGGATTCTTTTGTGTTTGGTTAAAGTGCATCAAGCACCCAGGAACTATATTTTCGAACAAATATCTCTAACAAATTATAGACGAATTTATAACAAAAAATAACTGTCAGTAACTCAACTATAATTATAAATACGCAGTAGTGAAATAACATTATCTTAACATCCAGTGAAAGCAATCATGAGTTCCCAAGCATGAAAAATGTATCGGGTATCGCCCGATGCAGCTAGATATACTAGATACAAAACGCGATACATCTAAATGCGTAAAAAAGAGAGAAAGTTGAATCCGGTTATCGGCCGATACATCTAGATACAGCCAATTCTTTTCTAGATGTATCTAGTTATGTATCTAGTAGCAATTTTAACCCGCTTCATCGGGCAATATATCAGAAGATGAATCTAATTGTATATCGGCTGCAGATGAGACACGCGTGAAATCGCCCGATAAAGCTGCCGATACATCGTACAATGTATTGGACGATGCATTGTGGGATATATCGATCGATTCATCTGCTTGAACCCGGTTTAAGTAAATTTCATTCCATCCTATCGTTAAAATCGAGCGATGCATCTAGTGTAAGGCGATTTCCAGCTAGATGCAACTAGTAAGAAATCACCTTGTTCTAAATGAGGAGAAATAGTAGTTATCATTTTGCACCGCGAAGCTCAAGTTGTACAAAGCTGAGCCTAACAGATAGAATTGAGGAAATTTAATTTTCTAAATTTCATCTTCTAAGCTCAAGTTTGGAAAACATCTCCTTCATAGTGAAAATTCGGGAAAACCACTTTTTTAAATCTAATTTTCAGTTTCCCACCACGAACAAAGTACTTCTCAAGTTTGAGTTTGGAACAGAATGTGTAGCAAATTTAGTTTTCTAAATTTTCTCTGCCAGGCTCAGCTTTGTACAACTAGATCTTCAAGATAAAAAGCACAAAACACCATTTTTTAGTCTGAAGACCAACTTTGAGAGATCCAACACCAGTAGAAAAATTTTAAGGAATTAAATTTCCAGCATTTCATGTTCCAGACTCAAGTCTAATAACTGCTTCCATCATGGTGAGAAACGCTTATTATTGTTAATTAGTTATTTTAAATTTAAAATTTAGTTATTTCTATGCATAATAACAAGAAGAGAATGAAAAATGTATATCTATTTGTGTAAGCTCGTGTGGTACAATGGCGTAGATAGAAGACTACTGATCTCTAGGTACAGAGTTCGGATCTCTGCACGAGCTGTGTTTCTTTCTTCCTTTTTTTTCACCTCGATTTACAACTAATTATAACGCTTTTTATATCTAGCGATTCTTTTTTTTAAACAGCTAGACGAATCGTATGCTTAATCGCTAGATGTACCTCGTTCTTATTGTTTTCTATCAACCATAATTTCTTACTAGATGCATCGGATATTGCATCGTGTAATCGAGTAAAACTCGATGCCTCTAGATAACCCGATATTTTTTACTCTTTTATCTAAATACTTTTGCTGGAGTATCGGGCGATACCCCAGCAAATGTATCTAGATTTTTTCGCTTACGAATTCATGGTTGGGTTTGCACAACGAGAAATTTGCATCAAAACTTGCGTGCCTATCCAGTACACAATTCTTATTTTCAAATTAGGGCTGACTTTGTAGAAAATATTTCTTAGTTTTACATTCGCCAATAAGTGTTAAATCTAGCGAACAAAGAGACTTCGGAAGAAATAGAAAGAAATACCCAAGAAATTGAAAGTAGGCATGCAAGTTATTAACCGTTAACCATAACCGTAAATAACACCTTAGTGTATATTTGGTTTTTAGCTCTTTGATTTTTGTTTACATTAGAAGTAGACACGGATGGTCTTTGTCCTGACGTTACAGTGCATCTGCTACAGTGACAGTCCACACTACACTGCACAAAAACGGCTATTAAGTAAGTGGTGGCATCGACGAATATCTCATTAACCACTGTTTGTCAGAGTAATTTGACTCTTTTGAGTGATTTGAGTACCAAACAAGTTTGAAGTGCATCCGTGTAGGAGAACCAATAAAACGTCAGGGCAAAAATCATCTTTGTCTACTTCTAAACAAATATTAAAGAGCTAAAAACCAAATATACACTAACCCGTTATAAAGTAGTTATTTACGGTTACGGTTAACCATAACCGTTGCATACATAATTGAAAGATTAGTCTAGAGCTTACAAGTACTAAGAGTTAGAGATTAAAAAAAGATTTGATCTCATTGCTCACATTGTATACCACTTGTACAAATGGATAAGCAATTGAACTGTTCAATGGAAATAACAGTAGCTCGGAATGACATTTTGTTAACATCTGATTGAGAATTGTTATACCGTCACTTACTCTCTTACAATAATCGGAAGTTATGCTTCTTGCAGTCCAAAAATCGAGGAACAAATAAAATAGATCCAACATGTATTATTTATATAATGACTATACATTTTACTTAAATGCAACTGATCATATTTAATCCGACATTGTCGAGCGGAATATGATGAGAAATTTTGAAGACATTGTCCATCACCGCATGAGAAATAGGTCGAACCACAAAAATGACCATCACAATCGGGTTTTTTCAGAAGTAAACACTCATCGTGGACTAAACGTTTAAACGATCATTAAAACCATCAACCTCATCACTGTAATCAAGATAATCTGGATCATGATCAAATGAAAAACTTTTATCAATACATAATCCGTTTCTACAATGATATTCAAATTTATCGTTACATTGATTTGATTCCAACTCTAAACAATGTTCTTCATCCGACAGATCAAAACAATCAACTTTTTTGTCGCAAATTTCGCGCCAATTAAGGCATAAATTCGTGCGATTATTGATATGAAAGATTGTTTTTGAGTACAGTTGCAATAAAATCTATTGTTCGACATTGCTTCATTGATGGTATCAAAATATAATTGATACTCTTCAACTTTCGTCATAGGTGCATACCAGTTGTATAACTCGTTGGCTATTACTTGAATTTCCTTCGGTCGTTTAAATGAAACTGAAGTGCCACCATTATAATAAGTATCGAACTTTGATTCTGTTTTGTGATGATAATGAATATTATTCGGACGTGGACAAAGGTGAGTGAAACAAAAGGAGCAGTTCCGTACGATAGAGCTAAATCCATTTTGTAGTAGTACAAACAGTTGTAATCAACACCATTGGGATGTGTGTATAACCGATAATAACTCTCAATCAACTCAGCTATAATTATAAATACGTAGTAGTGAAATAACATTATCTTAACATCAAATGAAAGCAATCATGAGTTTGCACAAGGAGAAATTTGCATCAACAATAATAAATGTTAAATGACGAAAGCTAATAACATATTTTTATGATTTCCAGATGAGAACCATTAGTCATGTAGATGAATATTAGACGAGTCTAGTCACTAAAATTAACTACTTATTTTTCCTTAATTATAGTACTTTTTTCACTATGAAAAGCTATAATAAATGAGATATTTAGAAAAAAGTACCCTGTATAGACTAAGGGCGTTTTTCTGTAAATATAAATACAAAAGAATTGTAAAACTACATAGAGAAAAACAGAAAGAAGGAGAAAAAAGGAATGTATACATTTCTGGGCTATTTTTAAGTGAACTGAATAAATATTATAATGATAATGGTAATGTCCATTCAAATGGACATTGGGCTTTAAAGGATTAAGATTATATTCAGATAGATCAGCGAACATTTTATCAGAATAGCTGCATCTTTATGTGCTGGGGTTTTGTTTAATTTATATAATTTCAGAGAACTTCATGCTACCAGAAAAGCAAAATATATAGAAGTTGTGCAATTTTTAATTTCAAGCAATCTCGGGGTTACTCATATAAAAAAAATAGAGAAGGTGACAGTAAGTCGATAATCATTCTAAACTTGTACCACAAATTGAAATTATAAGAAAAGAGGAGAGCGTTAAAGAACTAGGTATTCGATAGATGTATAATTTCTAAAAAGCTGCTACACTCTGTAATCTACAAATTTTGATTCAAACAACATGACTATGTTGTCCGAGAGAAATTAGATAGAGCGACCTACGTAATCAATGATTTTGTAATTCGGTTATTTCAAGACGTATCATATCATTTTCTAAACGAAGTTTAACATTGATATCTTTTACTGATAGCACATTATTGCATTCTATTTGGAGTTTAACATTGGCTTCCATTAAACTTTGCAATTCAACCATTAAACCATCGACTGCCTAATTAATTGGATGTTTTATCGCTTCCGTTGTTCTTCAAAACGCGATTCAAGCAAACTCAAGCAAGGAATTCAAGCAAAGGATAAGAATGTATTAAACATGATAGCGAGAACTACGAAATATAAATTTATTTTTTCAGCACTTTCACACATATAAAAATAATGCAAGATACCAATAAACAACATCCAAGAACACTACCGACAATGACACCAATCAGCGCACCTAATGTTAATGTCCCCCAACGACGTATGTTATGACACTTGCCAGTAGAAGAACCACATGTATCACCAGCTAAAGGAGAGTAAACGATAAGCAAATATCAGCCGTACTCAAGTGCTCTCTCACTTGAAACACTTACGTGAACAACACCATGGCTGACCGCTGAAGGCATAACAACATTTAGCTAAGTAGAGAGAAAATGTAGAGTCCATTTGCCAGCAGCAATAATATCGAAATCATCTCTAGACATACCTCTTCCTCCGTGATATGCTGTACTGCAATCTTTCCCATAGTTACAACAATCTAGACAAGCAGTATCTTGGCATTCGGAGAGCACGATTAATAATGTTAATAATAATAAGAAAATGTATGTTAGAAAAGATGACATTTCAAGTAAAAAAGAAGGACAAAAAAAAGGATTCTCTTGCTTCTCACCTTAAGTAGTATATATAGATATACCCTTTTGAGAGAACGTAGAAGAAAAACATGACATTGTTATCAGTTTTTTTTCTGCAAACATGACTCCTTTATCTTGCACAATTTTTAAAAAAGAATCGAGACAAAATACTATTTTTCATTTTGGGTGTATTAGTAAGGTATGAATAAGAGCACATGGTGAGTCAGAGGTTCTGCACACCCAATATACCGCGCACTCCTTATATCCTAAATTTCAAAAACACGCACCTCTGCTCACCAGAAGTCTCATTGGGTAGGCGACGAAATTTTCAAACGAAAAAAAACCTTGAACACAGATCGCTTCGTAATCAGAACTTAAACCTCTGCTGCGCAGAAATCGTAAAGCAAACTTTTGCTTTTTGCACTTCTAAACTTAAAGTATCACAAAGATTGTTTAAAATTAAGAAGAGGAGCACAAGGCAATCTAACCGCATTCTAACCTTGCCTCGTGGCTAAACTTGCTTTTCAACACATAGCTAAGTCCAACCGACAAAACAATCAATGAATGCCGTTAAGAAAACTAAAGTGACCTATCTCAGAAAAAAGGCACTGCCAATGTTGTATCACAACCAAATACACTGGTGCGTGAACCAAAAGCAATACACCTACAATAGGCGTGTTCCATGAGAAAGTTGGTCTAGACTATCTTGAGAATGGCTGAATGTATCAAGTTGATCTCTGGTTTATGAGGGTTTCTCGACCATATGAAAAAACAAAACTTCTGAGACGCGCGTTTTTATTCGATTTCCTTTTACCCATATAGTCTAGGCTATATGCTCTGGTGATCGTGAAAGTTTGATTAAACCCTTTTTTGTTTGAACTTTTTCGACTCTTTATAGCGAA